GTGGGCCTGAGTTTAGAGGTGTGAAACTGGACAACCCTTCACTGATGATATCAAGTCAGCAGAAAAAGCCGGCGAAATCCAGCTTCAGGTGGTGTGATTCAGGCTTGAGACATTACCGTCCGCTTTTGGACAGTGAAATCTCAAGCTGTGTTGGTTTCCAGAAGTTCTTAAGACACATAGGTCAACCGTCCACGGTCCGTCCACGGTCCGTCCACGGTCCGTCCACGGTCAACATGTCTCTCTTATCGCGGGGGTCTCAAAACCGGGTCTCGACGCGAGGACGTGGAGGGCATGTCATCGGACGTAGGTCGTGGAGGGCAAGTCATCGGCCCTGGGAGGGTCTCCAAGCTGATGCCCCTCGTTCCTGGTGGTTCTTTGGGGGCCGAGCTGCGCGGTTGCGCGGCCCCAGTTGAGGGATGGTGCCCAAGAGAACACCCGGAAGTATCGGCTCAGGTGTGAAAGCTGATGACTTCTGGAGGAAGATCTAGGAAGGTAGGAAGAGGTGGGTAGTTCTTTTTGAAGATCTCTCCCTGTCCATAGGTTTGCAGCATTCTAGAGACTGTAGAGGGAACCAGACTGGTTTTGTCAATTTGGGGTCTTTTGTGCTTCTATAGTGAAAGCAACATAATTAAGTCAAGAAAAAAATGCAATGGCCAGATGAGGAGAGGATGAGATCATCTGATTTCCAAGAAAGGAATATACATGTCCTCTACAAATAGAGTTTGGTTGTTTTCTATTCTTGCAATTCCAAAAAGCCTTGGAGTGAGGGTAAACGCACTGAATTAATCTGAATTAGGGATACCTCAAGTACCTATTGAGTCGCATTCAGCTTCTTGCCAGACGGCCAGGTTCTCGATCAGGCGTGGTCTTGGCAGCAGTGATGATCTAGCCTAGAAGTCATCCTCAAGTAGAGGACAATCATGGGATAAGTCAAACATATCATCATATCATTCTTACTGCATTTTCCCTATTGCTTTGCTTTCCCTTCGTATTGCTCCTGTGCTTGAGGATGTTTGCAGTTTTTGGTGTAAACATCTTGTTAGCATTTCAGTTGGGCAGACTTCTGAGATCATTCGAAAGAGTCCGAACTTGTTCTTTTTGAGGTCGTTGTCCTTTTTTCTGCACCGCTTTGGGGTATCCATTCATCCTCCAACGGGTCCTCGTCCTGGACCCTCCTCGTCCGAACGGGTGGGGTTGGGTCGTCGGACCGGGGCAACGCACTGGTCGACCCCCCGAAGGAACGAAGGGTAACAGTGGGGCCTCGCGGGCCTAGGTGAAGGATGTTCGGAAGGGGTGACGACATCCACCCGGGAGGCGAAGTACATCCGGCCTCGGATAGGACCATTCACCGAGGTCCTAGGCCTTTTTGGACGGACAATCGAAGGTGGCTCGCACACCTTCTCAGAGAATAGATGTGGATCTCTTAATGGACCTTAATAGACTCCCTAATGAATCAGTTTTTATTTTGTTTTCGAAGAGATCACATCCACAGTATACGCAACCCATCACAGGTGTATACCCGGTTCTTATTTTTCAGGCTACGAAGCTGTTCTTTTCCACACAAGTACTCACCAGACGGACCAACTCGTCACCGGACCAGCATCGAAAAGGTGGGAACCAGGTCGAACCGGAACCGAACGGCTCGGGCGACTGGACGATGGATCCGTCGGCGACAGGACCAGTTCGGCCGGACCAGGTCAGCAAGTGGTAAGCTGCTGCTGTGTATTCACCGATCAATGCCCTCCAAGCTGGGATGCGCTGCAAAGGGTTCCGAACAGTTCGGCTTGGATTCTATCGCAAATGAATCGGGTAGTAACTTCTAGCCTTCCAGGTTCCATTCGCTTCCCCCAAGTCATCCCCCGCACCCCTCCCTTTTGCCCACCGACTCTGGTGCCACAAAAGCCGGTCAGTCATCACTCGTCGCTCTCAGGCATCGCAGGCGTCTCCATCGGAGCCGCTGTTGGAGGAAAAAGTCCTCGAAGAAAGTCGACTTCTGGTGGAGGCCATGTGACGATCTCCCATGTGGGACGACCGACATTGGCGGAATCGAGGTGTTGAGATATGTTGAGATCAAGAGGTGAGTGTGCTTTTTTTGGGCTGCCCACATGGTGAGAGGACAGATCAAGAGGTGTTATTTTTTTGGAGGCATAGATGGAGATGCAGTTGGGAGGTTGATCACGTGTGCATGGTTTTTGTGGGCAATTGGTTTCATCTAAAGCCTCCAAAGCTCGTGCCTGTCATATCTCGCATGTTTTTTTCAAGGCACCCATCTGGCATGGGAAGAGTCAGCAACAGAAGGGTGTTGGTCGGTATAAGTGCGGAGGTCAAAGCACCACTTCCTTTCCAACAGAGAACCAACGGCAGCCTTTGGTCATGTTGCAATAGGAATTTCTGAGCAGGCTAGATCCTTTTTTTGAGTGTATTATCACTCCCTGTCCCTCGATCAGATCCAACATCTCCAAATGGCTGTGTGCTGAAGTAGGGAGACCTCCCAGTTCGACAGCTAGAAGAAGGGACATAGACCAAAAGCCGACACCCCAAGGAGACGAGCAGCTTCCTCGAGAAGGTGGACGAGGAGGCAGGTTGGTTTCTTGCCACTTGTCCAAAGTAGGCAGGTTTTGGGCCACTTTTGATCACTTGGGGAAGATCACCTGCAGTCAGGTTTAGGTGGGAGTCACGAGTTATGGGAGTCAATGCGAGTCAATGCGAGTCATGAGTCAGTAGAAAAAGCCTACAGTCGAAAGGCCATTCATGTACAGTTCAGAACAACACATCACGATGAGCGCCCTCAGGAAGGTCACTGTGATGGGCCAGATGCATGATTGCGTGATTATAATTATGTTCTTCGTAGAGACCTGTTTTTTTTGCCTCCAACCTAGTAGCGTCCTCTTGTTACTAGTAGCGATGCCCTTTGTTCCTAGTAGCGAACATTGCGCTTCAACGGTGAATACCTCAAGAGCCGTGTCCAGGAGCAGCCGCTGGAGGCGCCGGAGACGAAGAGTTGGCCCAGTGTTGAGGTGCAAAACAGGTTTTGGTGACCAACAAAGGAACAAGAATCACAGATCCATAATCATCCAGACATTTTGCTAGACTATTTTTTCGGATTCTTCCTATGGCACACCAAGTTCTGGAAGGTGTTCATCCTCAAAGCCTGGCTTGCAAAGCAAGTTTGGCTGAAAGTGAAAGCTCCTGCAGATGTTAGTTTCCCATTTAGGGTGATCGAACGAGACTCAGGTTGTTCCAAGTCAATCACTTACAGCAACATGTGTTTTGAAGATAGTGAAGATACAGAAAGTCTGACGAGTTTGTACGAAGAACCACTGAAAGAACCTTGTTTGCACTAGCTCGGAACTGGTTGATTGAAATCGTAGATCCATGTAGATCCACCAAGGGATTCTCATGGGCTTGGATGGGTGGGATTGTGTCACAAGTGTGAGTAGACCAGTCGCAGCAGATTGTGTCACAGTGAGAAATCAGCTCAGCTGGCCGGCGCAGCTCGACCACTTCACTGATCGATCCCGTTCCGAACACGGCGCCGGACGAAGCCGACGCGCCCCGACGCCTCGAGACCGTCTCGACAGACCGGTCCTCGTCCGAGTCGCCGCGGTCCAGTTGCATGCTCCTTCCGCCAGTGGTGTGTGGTCCGCACTGGGCGGTGAATCGAAGAAGACGCGAAAGCAGGGTCTAAGTGGAGATTGGTGGTTTTGATGCCACGTCGCATGTGGCCACGTGACGATCATGATTGCCTCACAACCTGCCAGGGTGGCCACGTGGCGTCTGACTTGCAGTTGCAGGGTGCGAGAACACCGTTCCAACGCAGATGAATTGGAATCAAGAATACTATGGGGCCTATGGGATGCTTGCTTCAGCGATCATTGAACGTAGCCACTGATGATATCGAAATACGTTAGGTTCATCCGAGACAATCAATGAAGAGCTTGGATTCGCCAT